TAAAATACAAGTTCATTAAATCACAAAACCTAGAAACCTTGTGATGATCATGTTTGATCAATGGTTTGTAATATGGAATAGGAAAGTGATAGAAAAGTAATTTAGAAAATAAAAGTCTTTTAAGTTTAAAAAAATAGTTTATTTAAATTTCAGACTTTTAAGTAGACCATAGACTATAAAAAGCAAATAATATTTTTCTTACAGACTAAGACATTTAGTTTACATATTCTTCTTCCCTAGACTACTACTACAAACACTTTGAAACCAAAAAAGTTATATTTAACCTATCCACCTAATTTTAATAATAGAAAAAGAACATGAAATTTCATATGAGTTTGCGACCCCAAATTGTAGCAAAAATAAAATACAAGTTCATTAAATCACAAAACCTAAAAACCTTGTGATGATCATGTTTGATCAATGGTTTGTAACATGGAATGGGAAAGTGATAGAAAAGTAATTTAGAAAATGAAAACTTTTTAAGTTTAAAAAAAATAGTTTATTTAAATTTTAGATTTTTAAGTAGACCATAGACTATAAAAAACAAATAATATTTTTCTTACAGACTAAGACATTTAACTTACATATTCTTCTTCCCTAGACTACTACTACAAACACTTTGAAACCAAAAAAGTTATATTTAACCTATCCACCAAATTTGAATAATAGAAAAAGTACATAAATTTTCATATGGGTTTGCGACCCTAAATTGTAGCAAAAATAAAATACAAGTTCGTTAAATCACAAAACCTAGAAACCTTGTGATGATCATGTTTGATCAATGGTTTGTAACATGGAATGGGAAAGTGATAGAAAAGTAATTTAGAAAATGAAAATTTTTGAAGTTTAAAAAAAAATAGTTTATTTAAATTTCAGATTTTTAAGTAGACCATAGACTATAAAAAGCAAATAGTATTTTTCTTACAGACTAAGACATTTAGTTAACATATTCTTCTTCCCTAGACTACTACTACAAACACTTCGAAACAAAAAAAGTTATATTTAACCTATCCACCTAATTTTAATAATAGAAAAAGAACATGAAATTTCATATGAGT